GGCTTTCCTGAGGTCTCAGATTGCAAACAACACTGTGGGACTTCTCAGCCTCCATCATCATGTGAGCCAATGCTTTATAATTAATCTCTCTCCTCTCTCTCTTTCTAGATATCTAGATATCTAGATAGATACATAGATAGATACATAGATGGATCTTATTGGTCCTGTTCTAATATAGTATCTATGCATTTTCTTAGGAGAAGGAAAATCATTAAAAGTACAATAAGTCCTCAATCATGATATGGTTGCCCAGCATGCATCCTAAAGGACAAAGTATTCTAAATTGTTTAAGAATAAGAACCCTATAAAGACAATGACTTGGCATCTGTGCTTAAACAAAATGTTTCATGGACATTTTAGTACCATGCATATATATATGTATATATATATATATATATATATATATATATATATATATTTTTTTTTTTTTTTTTTTTTTTTTTTTTTTAATTCAACCATCATCATGCTGTGCATTCATCATCTGCAGCCTTCATTTGTTTAGAATTCCCTGCTGGTAGCCAAACTTCTGTCTGGGAAATATATGAGACAGTCTATCTCCCATGATGAGTTTCCAAGGAAGCATTATAATGAAAGACTGTGAGTTACTCATAACCAATGCCTAAAGGAAACAACATTCTAAGGAGTTGTGCACTGTCTTTGACAAGGTGGGAAAGCATACTCTCAGAGCAGGTGCTCAACAAATGCCATGCTGAATGAATGAAGCCTTTCCTCACAGTAAAAGAGGTGGGTCCAAGCTTCTTCATGGAGCTAAGGAAACATAAGAGATCATCCGCCACATTATCTTAACAACTGATCCATTCTTGTTCTCCGTAGTTCCCCCTCAGATCCAGGGGAATGCTGGCCGTCGCCCCTTCAGAAACTGAGGCAAGGATATTCCCACAGGTGATCAGTGGCCCAAAGTGAGATCCCTGGCTGATAGAAGAACATGTCTACTCCATATTCAAGACCTAGGGGACTGACTGAGATGAGTCAGTGACACACTGGAGTCTCTGGAACCCCAGCCAGGGTTCTTCTTGGAGTTGTAAACTCTTTCAGCCTTTTGAGAAGGGCCACCACTTACATAGCATGGTAAGGGGGAGAGATCAGTTTCCTTTATGACCCCATCAGGTGGTACCCACACCCTTCTTCTATGTGTTTAAAATAATGGGTGTGACATCATGCCCATGACAAAGAAGTTAAGCATGTTAGGAATCCAAACATGACTCTAAACACACATCCAGTGATGTGTGGCCCAGGTCCCGTCAGGATTGAAGGACTCATTGCCACAGCACCCAGAGCTCTGCTGCACACAGCCCTCACCTGTCAGCCCCCTTCCGAGTGGCCTCAGCTGAAGAGCTGCCTCACCTGGGGAGACATCCTCCTTCCACAATGCCCTGCCTCCAGTGCTCACTTGATTTGGGATGCATAAAAGCCAGGCTTGTTGCCCCAGCTCAGCACAGTTCTGAAAGGTCATCCCATCTTTTGATCTCCTGGGAGGGTTGGCCGAGGTTACAGATGATGCTGAATTGTGTCTCAGCTCTGCCCCTTCCCAAATCCTGCTTCCTCCCTCTCCCTTCCACAGCTGTGGATACCAAGACAGTCCCTGAGAAGTCCTGCATGCTAATCTCTAGCTCAGACTCTGCTTCCTGGGGGATCCAATCTGCAACAATTACCAACCCCTTGGTTTACTTTTGTTCACTGTTCTTTTTTAAAAAATAGAAATACAATTTACATTTTAAATTGTGTAAAATCTGCATGAATATTGATTTTCTGTGTCTACTTGGATAGGGCATAGTGCCTCATTATTCAATTAAACAATAATCTAGGTGTTGCTGTCAAGGTATTTTGTAGAAGTGACTAACACAGTTAGTTGACTTTAAGTAAAGATTACCCTCAAGAATGTGGGTGGGCCTCACCCAATCAGTAGAAGGTCTTAAAAGCAGAAACTGAGGTTTCCCCTGAGGAGAAAAAATTCTGCCTCAAAACTGCAACATCAGCTCTTGCCTGAGTTTCAGCCTGCCAGCCTCCCCTGCAGATTTTGGACTTGCCAGCTCCACAGTCATGTGAGCCAAAACCTTAAAATAAATCTCTCAATATATATATCCTTTTAGTTCTGTTTCTCTGAAGAACCCTGACTTACATAGTCTTCCACCATTACTGGATTTTTTTTTTTCTTTTTGTTGACTTATCCTTTTTTACTTTACACATTTGGAGGTTATGTTATTAGGTGCAAACAAATTTAAGATCATTTTATCTTAAAGTGGAAACTTTTATTGCTCTGAAATGAACTACTTTTTTTTTTTTTTTTTTTTTTTTTAAAGATTTTATTTATTTATTCATGAGAGACAGAGAGAAACAGAGGGAGAAGCAGGCTCCCAAGGAGCGGGAAGCCCGATGCGGGACTCGATCCCAGGACCCTGGGATCATGACCTGAGCCGAAGGCAGACGCTTAACCATCTGAGCCACCCAGGCGCCCTGAAATGAACTACTTTTATCTCGGACTTTGTAACTTCTGGTGTGCATAATATTTTCCCCATCCTTTACTTGTTGCTATACTTATATATAAGGTATATCTCTTATAAAGAGCATGTTCAACTTTGTTTTATTTTATTATCTGGTCTGAGGAACTTTATATTTCAATTGGAATACTTCGTCTGTTTAAATATACTGTAATTTAGGCTTAAATCTACCACCTTGCTATTTGTTTTATATTTGCCCTCACTATTCTATATTTTCTGTCCTTTCTTAAGATTTTTTGGATTTTTTAATAATTTATAATTTCACTTCTTCTTTTAGCTTGTTAATTATACTTAAAAATTTGCAGGGGGGTTATTTTCCCTAGAGAGTACAACAGGTATTCTTGACTTATTAAAGTGCTATTTTTTTTTGCTACTTTAATTTTCTATTTTTGATCTCACAAAGTGATGTTATTTATACAATCAATATTTATCTAGATATGTGTATTCTTGTCATTGCTCTTTGTTATTTTTAATTCCTATGTTTTGTTTCTTTATATGCCACTTACTGTGATAAATGCATTGCATATGTTTCCTGTCTATCTGAAGACAGCCTTGCCATGTAGATCCCATTTTATAGATGAGGAAATCAAGGCTCAGAGAGATGCAGTACAATAGTGTACTGCTTCATAACTCGGAGCATAAGCTTTGAAAGCCAGTAGACTCTACCACCTGCTCTTACCATTTTGAGCAAATCATTTATCACTGTAAGCGTCTCTTTATCTATAAAATAGATACTAATAACAACAAAAGCACCTACTTCATATTTTGGTTGTAAGACTCTAATAAACTGAGGCATGCTCAATGTCTAATGCAACGTCTGGCACATCGTACCTGCTCTACAAAGCTTCATATCGTTTGCGATGATGATGATGATGAGAAGCGTGTAATAGGCATGTTGCACACCATTGCCGCCCTCCCGCTGTGCATCTCAGGGCAACTCCACCCCCTTCAGCATCTAGAAGGAAATGGCATTCAGCAATCCCTGAGAAAGGTGTGGCCACAGATTTGACCCAAGGTCGCCCAGGGTGACTATTTTGTATTGCTTTTATTCTCCTAAAGCCCTTTCCCATTCTGAGATACACAAATATTCTTCCAGGATTTTTATCAAGGCTGATTGTCAACATTTAGATCTTTAATCCACCTGGTATTTACTCGGGGGTCATGTATCAGAATACATATTTAAGTTTATCATGTTAATGTACTTATTCTGCTTCTGGAATTTCTACTTCATCCCTGTTAGTATTCTATTCTGTGCCACCACCACCACCTGTTTTAAATATATTAATATTAAACTATGTTTTTACATCTAGTACAACAAATATCACAAGTCAATCTTTTTCTATTTTGTTTCTATTTTATCTTTTCTCAGCTCTACTCATGAATTTCTTCTTCTAGATGAATCTTAATTTTACTTGAACACGTTTCAGAATAAATCCCACTGGGAATTTAAATGCAATTGCATTAACCCTGTAAGTGAATGATTTTCATTTACTACATTCCTTTTTTCATGTAGCTATCAGATTTTTTGGCTCTCTTCACATTGTTTGCAAAATTCTTTATAAGTCCATTTGGGTGCTTCATATTTTGTGTTACTATTATAAAAGGGAATTTATTTCCATTAAATATAATAACTTTTTTTCTTAATTTTAGAAAAGCCATTTATGCTTTATAAATTCATTATGTGTCTAGCCACTTAATTATAAAATTTGGGTGTTGGGATCTTTCTAGATAGAGAATCATCATTACCTAAAAGTAATAAAAAGGTAAATGTCTTCTCTTTCCAGTGTTACATATTTTGCTGTGTTGGCTAAAATTCTAGAACATTAGATGATAATAGTGATAGAAAACATCCCTCCCTGGTTCTTGGTTTTGGTGGGGCATGTTAATATCTCATTGCCAGGTATGGCTTTGGCTGTTAATTTCATGTATGTCTTCTATTAAGAGATAATGCTTACATTTCTGGTTTTGCTGCCTGTTTCTCCTCTCCCTCCAATCAAAATGACTACCCTAGTAATAGTAGTAATAGTTGCAGCAGTTGCTAGTATATATTGGGTACTCATCAATACTTTATATAGTAGACATTTAATATAGTCATCTCAGTATTTATAATGCAGGGTTATTGTTATTCCCAGTTAAACATAAAGAAATGGAGGTGTTCACTCACCTTGGTCATAAAGTTCAGCTTTGAACCTTGGTCCATAATAGTCAAAGTGTGACTCATGTATTTTTTCTGTCATGCAAAGAGCTCATGGTCCTTATTCTTCATGTGCCCTCTCCCACATGGACTTCCCACCTGTCTCTGCTCAGCTCTGTGCTTCACGAGGGCAACTTCTGGAGACTGTACTCCCTAGCCTCATTTGCTGGCTGCCTTCTATTGGGTTTGGCCAACTAGGGTCACTGACATGACATTGGAAGGGAAGGAGAAGAGTTCTTCCTTGGCTCTCTCCCTGCCCCAAAGTGAAATCTTTAGTAGTAGTTGAGTCCCCAGTAATAGCCCCTTTACCATTGCTTAGGTGCCAGCCCTACCTCTTCCCTTTCCCTATCTGCCCTAGGAGTGGTAATAGCTTACCATGGGTGCTATCTTTAGGTGTCTCACCACCCCTTGTATGTTTCCTTAGCTTTGCCAAGCTTGTTTCAAGTTGTCCCTTCACTAAAGTCTCGATTAAATAATCTGGTGGGGACCTTGACTTATTCAGAGTCTCTATTTTTTCTAATTAAAAAACATATTTTATAAAACTCCAAGAAGCTAATATAGGAGAAAAACCTAGATGACCTTGGGTTTAGCAATGACGTCTTAGATCTATTTTTAAGTAATTTCTACACCCAACATGGGGCTTGAACTCACAACCAAGAGCAAGAGTCTCATGCTCTACCAACTAAGGCAGCCAGGGGCTATGACTTCTTAGATCTAAAAGCACAATCAGTAAAAGAAAAAATTAATAAGTGCATTCCATTAAAATTAGAAACTTCTGTTCTACAAATGACACTCCTAGGGGAATGAGCAAACAAGCCTCTTTCAAAGGAAAGTTTTTTCAAGGTACATATTAGATAGAGGACTGGTATCTAAAATATACAACGAACTCTTAAAAGTTAACATAAGAAAACAAACAATTTAAAAATAGGCAGAAGAGCTGAACAGATACTTTACCAAATAAGATATACAGATGGCAAATAAGCATGTGAAAAAAGATGCTCAACATGATTATGGAATTGCAAATTAAAACAAGGAGATAGCACTATACACCTACTAGAATGGCCAAAATGCAGGACACTGGCAACACCAGATGTGGGCTATGGAGCAAAAGAAACTCCTATTCATTTCTTGTGTGAGTACAGAATTGTAGAGTGACTTTGGGAGTTGGTTTGATGGTTTCTTTCAAAATTAAATATGCTTTTACTATATGACCTAGTAATCATGCTCCTTGGTATTTACCGAAATGAGTTGAAAAATCTACATTCAGACCGAAACCTCCACGTGAATGTTTATTCATAACAGCAGCTTATTTAAAACTGCAAAAACCCCCACAAAACTATAAACCATGAAAAGACATAGAAGAACCTTAAATACATGTTGCTAAGTAAAAAACACCAATCTGAAAAGCTACATACTCTATGAGTCCTACTGTAGGGAAGGAAAAATAATTTTCCCTCTACCTTCTGAGTTCTTAGCTAAGACTCCTGTAATAAAAGACAGACTAACAAGAGAAGAACAAAAAGAAGTTTATTAACATTTCTGTCTCATGTATACGTGGAAGTTTCATGGGGGAAAATGACTAACTGTCTGAGGTGGCTTAGAACTCAGGAATAAATGCCATCTTAATAAGGAAAAGGGAAGTTGCAGGCTTCTTAGGGGAGAGAAAATGGTTTTAGGAAAGCAGAAGGGGCCCTCAGAAGACTCGATGGGGAGTCTGACGGTTTGGGACAGAGTGTGTCTGGATGCGATGCCGACTTTTAGTCTCATCTCCTGTACTAAGAATCCATCTTCCTTGCTGAAGACACTCCCAGGAGGGGATTGATGATGACCTAGTTCCTTTTGGAGGGTCTGACTTAAGGCAGATGAGGGAGATCAGAGTCCTCCTGCATCTGCTGTTTTCCAGTGCTTTCAGGTCAAAGTAATCAGTGTACCAAAGCAGCATATGTTAGGGTGGCATGTCCTGGAGTCCTTCAGTCATATTTTTGGGGCCGCATATTCTGCTTCCTGGAAAATTCAAAACTATGAAGATAGTCAATGGATCAGGGGCTTGGGAGGAGGGAAAGATGAATAAGTGGAGCACAGGGGAGTTTTAGGACAGTGAAATCTTCTGTAGGGTGCTATAATGGTGGATAGGGGGCATTATACATTTGTTCACACCCATAGAAGGTACAACACCAGGAGTGAATCCTAATGTGAACTATGGACTTGAGTTAATAACAATGTATCAACATTGGCTCATCACTTGTAACAAATGTACCACCCTAATGTAAGATGTTAATTGTAGAGGAGACTGCAAGAAGAGAGAGTATATGGAAGCTCTGTATTTTTCACTAATTTTTTTTTGGGGGGGGCATACCTAAAACAGTTCTAAAAAATAAAGCCTATTAATTTTTTTTAAAAAGTATCATCATTTTTAATGCATTTTCAGTAGAAATAATTGTGTAGATTTTCCTTCAACTGCAGATCTGATACATTAAATTGATAGATTTCCTAGTGCAGAGTTGTCCTTACATTCCTGGAATAATTCTGTTTGATCGTGTGGTATGTTCTCATTTTTATTTAGCACTGAAATTGATTTGTTGAAATTTCATTTAGAATTTTTGCACCTATATTCATAAGTGAGAGTGTCTCATATGCTATTTTTTTTTAAGTTGAGTGGTTTTGGTGCTGTCTTTCTCAAGCACTGGTACCAAGTTAATATAAGTTCATGAAAATAAATTGAGATTTAAATAAAACTATAGATTAGGCATCTGTGCTCTATTATATACAGTAGAAATTATTTTGTATGAAACCACTTGACCTTGAAAAATTTTGAAGTGGTTTAAAAGTTTCTGAAAAATCCTTTCAGTAGCGTGCATAGTCATTGGATTATTCAGGTTTTCTGCTTCTTTTTAAGTAAAGTTTTATAATTTATACTTGGCCAGAAAATGATGCTTTTCATAAAAATATCAAATTTATTTATTGAATATGTATTTTAAGGTTATCCTTACTTGTATAGTTTCCTCTGAGTCTGTACTCACGTCATGTTTTTACTCCCACATTTGTGTATCTTTATTTGAATCAAATTTATTTAATCAAAATAGTAAAAATTAAAAGTGAATGCATGTCTGTTGTTGAGTTTCTCTTATTTATATAACTAGCTTTCAGATTTATTAATCTATGAACTCAGCAGCTTTCCCCTTTCCTGATGTAAGGGAGAAAATTCTCCTCCTCTACCCATCCTAGGTTCTCCAGCAGGGGCTTGTGCATTAGACTAGCCACAGGCAGATGAACATGAGAACACACAGAAGTTTAAGGGCATGTGGGAGCACTCAGTACCCAAAGAGGTGGTTAGATCTTGGGCTTAAATACAGAAAAGGGGTTTGGGAATTTTCTGGTCAGGGAGGCAATTTGTGGGAAAGTGGCCAGGAGAAGTATGGTAAACAAGAGTTGCTTAGTAAGACTTGTTCTGTACATTTAAGTTGGTGCCTTCTTTGTTCTTAAGTGTCCACCTCTTCCAGATACAGGAGAGAGACCCACCTCTACAAATGTAGATTTCCTTTACAAAAGACAAACCTGTACCCTGTTTTTAGAGCTTTTCCTGTGTCTGCTTGTTCTCAATGGCCTTTAGTTCAAAATAGTCCCTATGCTAAAGGGGTATATTTTGGGGTGGCATATTTTGGTACCCTTCAATGATAATTTTTTAATGAGATATGATTGACATATAACATTGCATTAGTCTTAGGTGTACTACATAAGGGGTTGATATATATATATATATATATGAAATCATGGGGTACTTGTCTTTCTCTGTCTGACTTACTTCACTGAGCAAATTCCCTCAAGGTCCATCTATGTTGTTGCAAATGTCAGGATTTCCTTCTTTTTTTTGTGGCCAAATAACATACCATCATGCATGCATGTGTGTGTGTGTGTGTGTGTAATTTTCTTTATCCATTCCAGATACAAGTCCCTTATAAGATATAGTATATGCAAAATTTTCTCCCATTCTGTGGGAGTTTTCCCCCCACTTTCTTGATGGTGTGCTTAGAAGCACAAAAGTGTTTCATTTTGATCATGCCCAGTTTATCTATCTTCTGTTGTTGTTGCTTATGCTTTTGGTGTCCCATCTAAGCAATCGTTGCCAAATCCAAAGTCATGAAAATTTACACTTAGGTTTTCTTCTGCAAGTTTTATAGTTTTAGCTCCTCCATTTTGGTGCCGATCCACATTGACTATGTTTTGTATGTAATATGCGAGAAGACTTCAACTTTATTCTTTTTCATGTGGACATCTAGTTGTCCCAGCACCATTTGTTAAAAAGACTATTCTTTCCTCCATTGAATTGTCTTGGCACATAATTTTAACATAGGGTTTGTCAGGTTATTTATAAATGGTTTATAGTTAGTAACTTTCATTTCCTAGTGAGCTAATGTTTGAAAAGTTTGCTTTTTAGTCTCAAGTGATTGGATTCTTTTAAATGTTTTACCAGCATTAGTTTTTATTTTTATCGCATTGTTGTGAGAGACTGTCATGTACAAATCAAATATTATGAAAATCTTATAAACTATATGAAATATGTGATTCAGTTAATATTTTCCAAAAACTTAGAAGGGTATATTTAATCCGATGTGGGTAACAAAGGCAAAAGGAAAAAATTAAATTTCCTTACCACAGCCCATTAACTAGTCCTTGAAACAAGCAGAGTGACTTTCCTCTGAGACCTCAGCTGCTTCAGTGTTGACACTTTCTTAAAGGCAAAAGGTAATCTTAGTTTAACATTGTCTCAACCCCCAAAATTCTGTAAGTCTTCCTTAACATATTAACAATTCCTTTGGAAACTTCTTTTATCTCTACCCCCCAAGATCTTTGTTAGCAATCATCCTCCAAACATATGGCCCACTGATATACATCTCAAGGGCCTCATGACTAAGGCTTTATTAGACAATAATACATGACCTTTTCCCAACGATAGCTAGCTCCCTCAGGGTCCTGGAAACCTTGCTTCCAAAAGTCCTTAGAGACTTATGCTATATCCCTGACCCCCTCCCAACTTGAAAGTATATAATCAGTCACCCCACACAAGTCCAGACCAGCTCTTTCTGCCCATGGGTCCTATCCCCATGCTTTAATAAAACCATTCTTATTGCACTGAAAAAATTTCCACATCAAAATCTTTGTAAGGTAAAATGTTTAATATATATTAATTAGATCTTATTAATTGCATCATTAAAATCCTCTATAGACTTTCTATTTTGGTCTTTTGATTTATGATTATTGAGGATAACATGTTTAAAATTCCCTTATTTCTTGCATTTCCAAATGTTTTTATGTTATTTATTTTAGAGATACACTTTTAATGCATTAAATTTCATGACAATTTTATCTTCACTGTGATTTTTCCCTTGTGCATATAAAATGATCATCTTTGCAATGTTCCATGCCTCTTCACCTTGGATTCTCCATTGTTGTGCTTTCTTTGGTTTGTGTTTCTTTGATATATCTTTTCACATGCTTTAACTTTCAATTCTCTTATTTTACTTATAGCATTAATCTTTTTCTTTTAATAAAAAAGATTAAAATAGTGTATCAAATTACATCCATTTAAATTTATTTTTGTAGGTGATATATATATATATATATATATATACATATATATAATTGTTAATGATGATGATTAATAGTAATAATAGTAATAATCAGCAGCAGCAAGAGCACTGAACTTTGTGAGCCAGGCACTGCTAAGTACTTTTTGAGCATTATCCTATTCATCCCCAAGATTAACCTATAAATTAGGTTTTAAGTAACCCACATTATAGGTGAGGAAATCAAATTTTGGTGCCAATTGGATTTGACATTTTTTATCTTTGTTTTCTTGTTGGCCTGCGCTTTTGTTCTTGTTTTCTCTCTTTTTTAAATAAATTGATTATTTTTAATGTTTTTTAATCTCTAACAATTAGAATGGTGTATACATATACTTTTAATTATCTGATAAGTTTCTTTGAATCTTAAAACATGCACTTGCAACAATATTGATTTCATTACTATTGCCAAAGAAAGTTTCTACTGATACTTCTTGATGTAAAATTAGAAAATTAGCAGCTTCGTATTTCTTGCTCTTTTCCTCCATCTAATTCTTAATTTTGGTTGCCAATAATCTGGAATTTAAAGGTGTGTGTGTGAGAGGGGGTAGAGAGACAGAGGTCCCTTTCACTTTTAGGAACATTTAAAAAATATATGCACTACCCCAATGTCCACAATAGCCAAACTATGGAGAGAGTCAAGATGTCCATCAGCAGATGAATGGATAAAGAAGATGTGGTATATATACACAATGGAATATTATGCAGCCATCAAAAAATGCAAAATCTTGCCATTTGCAATGATGTGGATGGAACTAAAGGGTATTATGCTAAGCAAAATAAGTAAATCAGAGAAAGACAAGTATCATATGATCTCACTGATATGAGGAAATCTTAATCTCAGGAAACAAATTGAGGGCTGCTGAAGTGGTGGGGGGTGGGAGGGATGGGGTGGCAGGGTGATAGACACTGGGGAGGGTATGTGCTATGGTGAGCACTGTGAATTGTGTTAAGACTGATGAATCACAGACCTGTACCTCTGAAACAAATAATACATTATATGTTAAAAGAAAAAAAAGAAGATAGTAGGAAGGGAAAAATGAAGCTGGGGGAATCAGAGGGGGAGACAAACCACGAGAGACTATGGACTCTGAGAAACAAACTGAGGGTTTTAGAGGGGAGGGGTGTGGGGGGATGGGTTATCCTGGTGATGGGTATTAAGGAGGGCACATATTTGAATGGAGCACTGGGTGTTATACGCAAACAATGAATCGTGGAGCACGACATCAAAAACTAGATGTAATGTATGGTGACTAACATAACATCATAAAACAAAATAATAAAAAAAAAACCTTCCAAAAAATATATGCACTATGTCTTCAACTTTTTAAAATAATTATTACAATATTTATTTATTTATTTATTTATTTTTAAAGATTTTAT